AAAAGGAAAAAAAAGAACCAACTGTATGAGAAAACATATTTGCCTGTGATACCTCAGACAAGGGTTTGATCTCCAAAATATATATATAAAGAACTCACACAACTCTACTCCAGGAAGACAAAAAACCCAATTAAAAAAATGGGCAAAGGAGTTGAACAGATGCTTCTCCAAGGAGGACATACAGATGGCACAGAGACATATGAAAAGATCCTCACCATTACTAGCCATCAGAGAGATACAGATTAAAACCACAATGAGTTACCACTTTACACCAGTCAGAATGGCCATCATAAACAAATCAACAAACAACAAGTGTTGGAGAGGATGTAGAGAAAAGGGAACTGTAGTACACTGTTGGTAGGAATGCAGACTGGTGCAGCCACTGTGGTAAACAGTATGGGATTTCCTCAGAAAACTAAAAATAGAACTGCCTTTTGACCTAGCAATTCTGCTGCTGGGCTTATACCCTAAGAATCCTGAAACACCAATTCAAAAGAACCTATGTACCCCACTGTGCATAGCAGCACAATTTACAATAGCCAAGTGCTGGAAGCAACTTAAGTGCCCATTGGTAAATGAATGGGTAAAAAAAGCTATGGTACATTTACACAATGGAATACTATGCAGCAGAAAGAAAGAAGGAGCGCCTGCCCTTTGCAACAGCATGGATGGAACTGGAAAGCATTATGCTAAGTGAAATAAGCCAGGCGGTGAAAGACAAATACCATATGATGTCACCTTTAACAGGCACCTAATCAGCAAAACACACAAGCAAGCAAAATAGAACCAGAGACATTGAAATTAAGAACAAACTGAAAGTAACCAGAGGGGAGATGGGAGGGGATGATGAGGGGGAAGAGTTTTCAGGAACAACTATAAAGGACACATGGATAAAACCAAAGGGGGGTGGAATCAGGGAGGGAGGTGGGGACGACTGGGGTGGGAGGGACGGGGGGAGGGTGGAAATGCAGACAACTGTACTTGAACAACAAGAAAATATTTTTAAAAAACCAATTGAATATTTTCCCACTTTGTTCAAATGGTTGATTGGTAATTTAATAGGCATTTTATTTAATAAGAAATGCACTACAATTATTCATGATTGCAAAGAAAAAAAATCAGCCAATCACTGTATTTGACAAAAACTGCAGTGTATAAAACAAGAATGTGTTACGTATAGAACACAATAAACAACTCCCAGACATTGTTATATGAGTGGCCTTTGTATAACTTTGAAAAGTTTTCAGATTCCTAAGTACTGTTAACTTTGCTCTGAGGCAAAATCCCTTATAGATCTGAGTGAGAAATTGATGACAAAAATTAATTTTAAAGACAATATAACCATAACAAGGATGGCTCATATATTTGCAGAGTTCTATTAAACATACAAGTCATGTTAATCTTTAACTCTTCAAATGTAATGTGGAAGAGATATATAATAGAATAAGCAAGTAGAATTTTCAGACTGTCATAAAGCTATACAAGTACTCTTTGGCCTAGAGCAGCAATTTTCAACAGGTGTGGTGTTGCATGTTTTAAAAATTCTTACAGCACACCAGATGAAAATCGCTGACCTAGATGTTAAAACTCGTATTCTAAAATTAGACTTGAAAGGTATTCACAAAGTCATAAATGTTGGTGACTCTTTCAATAGATTCTGTATGGTCAAACAGCATCAGTGATAGATCCAGTACTTTTAAGAATCAGTCCTCACCTAGTTAGTGCTTCAGATTCGGACTGATGCCTCTGATTTTTGTAATAACTTTTTTTCCTTGTCTTAAGAGGAAATATGACTTGCCTAACAGACAAGTATTCCAGTTCTAATCAGGATTGCTATTTTGCTTCTTTTGCTTCAGGAATAAAAAGGCGTATTGCAATATAAAATCCATTTTCGTACTTAGGTGTATGGATGGGATCATTTGGGATTACGAAATTGGTTACCCTTAAAAAAAAATGGCAGTACCTCTAAGAGAGAGAAAGCAGAACAGTGGGAAAGATTTAAAACAATAAATATGAGGAATTGGATGGACAGTTATCAAGAGGTGACTGAAAGGATTTGAGCATATGGAAGGAGTACCAAGAACACCGAGGTAACAGCTCTGAACACGATTCTTAGCCTAGGAGGAGAGCAGGGAAATCAGAGGCCAGCAAAGATCAGGGAGTAGAGGAGAATGTGGCTGTGAATTCATAGTTGAAATGGTAGATTGTTGGTTCTACATAGCAAAGAGAAAAAATAAAGGTCCAGAGGGCTAAATATATAACTGGTCAAAGGTTTTTAAAATGTATAACTATTGTTTTTTAATATCTATTTTCATGTATTTATCACAGAATGATGTGATAAACATCATTCTAGGTGTTTTGCAGATGTGAGACTCCTGCCCTTTTAAATGAAAGTAAAAGGTCTTGACTGGTGTGGCTCAGTGGGTTGGTTGTCATCCTGCAAACTAAAAGGTCACCAGTTCAATTCCCAGGCAGGGCACATGCCTGGGTTGCAGAACAAGTCCCTACTTGGGGGCATGCGAGAGACAACTCATCAGTGTTTCTCTCACTGTCTTTATCCATCCATTCCCCTCTCCCTAGAAATAAACAGAAAAAAATTTTAAGACGATAATAAGATCTTTTTCAATAAATGTCTGTCTTTTGAAGCCCTGGCTGGCATAGCTCAGTGGATTGAGCACGGGCTACAAACCAAAGTGTGGCTGGTTCGATTCCCAGTCAGGGCACAAGCCTGGGTTACAGGCCAACTCTCCACTTGGGGGCACACAAGAGGCAACCACACATTGATGTTTCTTTCCCTTTCTCTCTAAATATAAATAAAAATAAAATCTTAAAAAATGTCTGTCTTTTGAGAGGTTGAGTGAGATGGTAGAGTGGATTGAATTCTAGTATTTGGTGGAGGGAAGACTCTTCAGTCTAAAAGCTCTCTGAAACTGACTGAAATGTGTTTCTATCACTGTTCTTCCTCCAAGTGTTTGTCTGTCCATAATTCAGTCAAAAATTGATATTTATAAAAGCTACCTGTGTATGATCATTGGGCCATATTCTACAGTCATGCACTGCATATCAACATCTCAGTCAGTGATGGACCACATACATGCAGTGGTCCTACAAGATTATAATGGAACCAAAAAGTTCCTATTGCCTACTTGTTGTCACCACCATGATGTAGTGCAATGTGTTACTCACGTGTTTGTGCTGATGTTGGTGTAAACACACTGCTGCCAGTTGTATAAAAAGTATAGCACATACTGCTATGTACAATACATAACACTTGATAATGATAAAAGACTATGTTAGTGGTTTATGTATTTACTACACTATACTTGTTATCATATAGAGTGTATTCTTTATACTTACAAAAAATTAGTATGCCGTGTTATACTGGCAGCGACTCATACATCTTATGTTTACTGTGTCTCTTGCTTGCATCATTTTCTCTTGTGCTTGATACAATCCCATGTTGTTTTGTTCCTAAGCATGCAATATCCACTTGCTGATGTTGCCAGTAAGAGGTCTTGTCCATTGATTGACCTGGAAATGAAATGAAAAGTGACTAAGCACTGTGAGGGTGGAAAATCAGTGGTGGTCACAGTCTGTCAGTCAGGCATGTCTCATGTCACCATACCTGCAGTCTTAACAAAAACAAAATGATGGAAGCTGTTAAAGTATCTGCTTCACTGAAGACAAGGAGATTAACAAAAAGTCAAGGAGAGCCTATGTCAGACAGAGAGAAACTTGTAATGACATGGAGTGAGAGCAGACACAGAAGGTGTCCCTCTCAAGTACCATGACAGCCACAGCCAAACAAAAAGTTTGTGATATTGACCGAAAAGGCCAGACCCTGCTACACTGTTGAATTTACAGCTAGCTCTGGGTGACTTACACAAGTGAAGAATCATTATTCATTACATAATGTGAAAGTGATTCCTAAGTCTGCAAGTACTGACATGAGCAGCTGGATAATTGGGGAGCATCTCAGAATTTTTCTCTTGTCATGTATAATTGGATATGCATAGACATTTTCTGGAGAACTGACATCTAGGTGGACTTCTGGCTTATTTACAAAATTATTTCTATTTGTAAACTATTTATATCCCCTGATGAGATTAATAAGAGGCATTTAAGACATTCATAGAATTTGGACAGGAAACTATTGGAGGGCCTACACTGACATCTCTTTATCTGGGGATAAGGCTGAAAGATCTAGCAGTAATGACTGAGGATTGCTCAATATTAGCAGCAAGACATGCTCCAGTCAGCTGAGGCTACGTTCCTTAAAGTGGTAGTGTCAAAGAAATGCACTAAAAAGTTTACTTACAAATTCAGGGCTGTGTCTCAAAACAGGAAATTGGTGGGAAAAGGTGGTTGGAATCATGGCCACAGATAAGAGCAATACATATAAACTGGATTCTTCATGTAAGCAGTTAGCTGTCTTTGTGCGATTACAGGAAACTAGAAAATGAATAAATCAGCTCCTTCCTTCATCTTGTAAATCAGTATTCTGGTATTTGAAGGTACAGTCAGTGTTGATTTGCACAGAAAATATATCAGTGCTTTCCCAATTCTTAAAAGGTAGGCACGGGCCCTGGCTGGTGTAGCTCAGTTGATTGAATGCGGGCCTGCGAACCAGATAATCGCGGTTCAATTCCCAGTCAGGGCACATACCGGGGTTGCAGGCTGGTTCCCTGCAGGCCAATTCCCAGCAGGGGACACACAAAAGGCAACCATACCTCGATGTTTCTCTCCCTCTCTCCTTCCCTTCCCCTCTAAAGATAAATAAAATCTTTAAAATATATATATATATATATAAAAGGTAGGCACAGACAATTGTTCCATTATATGTCAATCAAAAGGAACATTCCCAAGTATTTATTGAATGATTATGAGAAGTATGTCCAGTGCTTTGGAAGATAAAGAATAGTTATAAGATATTCTTTATTCTTAAAAATCTTCACCTATTTCTCATTTTATGTTTATGTTTTGTCTATTTGTCTTTAAAGGATTGTGAAGAATCACAGAACCACGCTGGCGATCCCGTTGGAGACGACTACAGAAAGATGGGAACACTTTTTGGTGAACTGAACAAAAGCCTCATCAACATGGGCTTTACTAGAATGTATTTTGGAGAACGAATTGTGGAACCAGTGGTGGTCATTTTCTTTTGGGTTATGCTGTGGTTCCTTGGCCTACAAGCCCTTGGACTAGTTGCTGTTCTTTGCCTTGTCATTATTTATGTACAACATTAAAGTATGGCTGAGGGAGCTATTGGTTAACATTTGGTACCCATATGCATAATTAGTAAAGTTATATATTTTACTACATGAAAGCCAAAAAGTTTGCCTTGTTTCAAATTGTGTGCTGTTTTGTAATATAATTATAAGTGGGTGTTGTTTAAAATAAAATTCAACTCTTGATTATAACAGGGTTCAATATACATCTTACAGCTTATTAAAACTCTTGTTTTAATATAATCTGTGCCCACTTTTAAATAGCGCTATTCCCATGCCAGATCTTAAATAACACCACCAAATGAGCAGGGACAGTAACAGGATATGGAGTTCAAACTGAGCAAGATAGGTCTTATAGAGTAAGATATTTAAAAAGAAAAACGATGAACCAATGAACTAAAAATGTTTTACTCGGGAAATTTCTCCCCACCCACCACCACCAAATAATCCCATATTATTTGGGAAAAGATTTGGATGTCTATTGTCCATGCTCAGCCCAAACCAATGTAAATAATAATTATTATACACTACCTTACAATTTTGATGAAAATCAGTAAAACTAACACATCTTCTAAAGATTGAAAATAACACATTTGTTATTGCTTGGGAAACTTCCCAAGTTAAATATAACTCTTTTTTATAATGAAATACTTGGGCCTGGAATCACTTAAGTATATCATTTGAAGTTTTATATAATTTTGGTGCTAATTACTTTTTGTGAATTTTTAAAGTCTCATAAGCCAGATTCATAGTTGTTTGTACCCCAGGATAATGCTGTATTTTCTTGTATCTAACAAGTTGCATATTTTTTTCTAGAGACATTTTCCATGTATTTTTTTCAAATTTTTATATTTTATAATTCTTTTATAGCAGTTATTTTAAGACTTTAAAATTTGATTTATCTTGTAATTGATTTATCTTTTTCCCCAAAAAATTGATTTGTATTATGGCTGAAACACAACTATTCTTTTGAGGGAGAAGCATCAGCTCATTTTTTTTTTTTGATGTCTGTATTGGAAGTTAAAGTATTACAGAATAAAAAACAAATGCTCGAATTTGGAATTTAGCCAATTGTAATAATATTTTTCTGAGGCTAAAACAAAGTTATTAATGTGTCTTAATTCAGCACTTTGGGGGTTTATATTGAAATAAGCATTTCTTTAAATACACTTTGAAAATGGAAAATGGCTAAGTGATATTTTAGATTCTGTTAGAGAACCTAAAATTTTTATACTTTTGTCTCAGAGAGTTTCTATATATGCAAAGGAGAGGTAGTAGTTAAGATAATTATCTAAAAATTCAAGTTAAATAAGAGGAAAATGGGACATTTGGGGCATTTTTACCTTTGGCAGGGCAATAACTAAAGTATGTAAAATGTTTACTATTCCACTTTGTGAAGTTTTTACCCAATCCTGTTTTAAAAATTTATTCTTCAAGTCCTCAATGTCTTCCATTCTGAAGCAGAAAATTAATGAAAAATGTTCGAGGTAGATTTCTAAAATTAGATAATCCTGATTAAAAAAAATACCAGTCATAGGACACTAACATGCATTGTGCATTTGTATAAACACAGACCTTTTAAGTCTGACTTTTAAGAAACAACTTTGTACTACATCACTGTGTTCTCAGTGACCTTGCAGTGTTTTTATGGTCCCTTTTATAAACTCAGCATATGTGGAAGTTATTTGAAAATGGTGTCCTCATCTGTGCACAATAGAATTATGAAGTTTTTAATAGAAGCCATGAGATTTTTATATCAGCATTAAATATTAAAAAGTGCATTCATTTCTGTGGTATCGGGAATTTTAATTTCCCTTTGGAATGTGAAAAAGATGTAATATGCATAATAGCAACTCTGGTTCCACCCATGCCTGATGTTGAAAATAGCTCAAATTAAGTTTTAATTGTAATTATTTAGTACTAACAATACTATGTAGCTGCACATTGTATTAATAGTGTATATATTAAATTATATAAAGAAGTGAGATATTTTGCTGCTATTCTTTCTGCATATGTTATTGGTTAGAGCAGTATACCATCAAATTGTTTGATAGGAAAAAAACAAACTTTGCTTATTTAATAGATATAAAGTATTTTTTTATGGAATATATTAGGCCCTGGCTAGTGTGGCTCAGTGGATTGAGCTCCAGCCTGCAAGCCAAGGGGTTGCTGGTTCAGTTCCCAGTCAGGGCACGTGCCTGGGTTGCAGGCCCGGTCCCCAGTGAGGGACACTCAGAAGGCAACCACACATTGTTATTTCTCTCCCTCTATTTTCCCATCCCTCCTTCTCTGTCTAAAAATAAATAAATAAAAATCTTCTTTTAAAAAAAGTATATTAGAATGCAAAGTATACTGATATCCCAAAATGAAAAGAAACTGGTCTCTTTTGGCAGGGGGAGCGGTTCATGGTATTAGGAATTAGCTTTAAAATGATTCTCAATCATTTCAATTTTAGATACAAACGAACTTTAGAAACTTAGCACTTACCAAAAAAAGATAGGTAATTTAACAAATGCTAAGTTATTAGATTAATGATACATTGCTCATACCACCAGCCCTCAGTTTAAAGGCAAAGCTTAACATCCACCAATAAAATGAATATAGGTGAATAAGTCAATTTTCATTAAAGGAAAAGCTCAGTATTTGTAGAATTTATTCATCTCGTACCTTAAATAGTCACATAAAAGATAATTTCCCATTCCTGGCCACCTAGCAGATCAGAGCATTCTTGGTGCAGCAGTGTGCTGGGCCCGCTTGCACTGGTTTGCAGGAGCTGACTGTACTTCTTTCTCTGTTTTGTCTTCAGTGACAGCGAGTTGATAACTTGTAACTGTCAGGGGTGGAGATGGTGTTTACACTGTAAAAAATTGGCAAACACAATAAATCAGGGCTTCTTTTTTCTTGCCAGGCAATTGTTACACATCTCAAGCACACCAACGGTTAACCGTCTAGAGGCCACATTGGTTTCTACTCCCCCAGATCTAAATGAAGTGTATCGGGGCAAATCCCCATCCACCTGTCCAAAACTGTATCTGGCTCTTTTCCATGCGGAAATGATGGACCGTGGCCATGTCCTAACTGACATATCCCTATTTACTCACATGTTTTGATCGGAAAAATCTCTACAGGCTGTCACTGAGCTGCAAGTCCATTAAAAGCTATCTAGACAATCGGGAAGTAAACAGAACTGTTGGAGAACAAATTACACCATGAGTAAAAAATTATCGTAAAGTAGAAAGCTCAGCATAGCCAAAGCTAGGGAATGAGCAACCAAGAGCTGTTTCTTTGACTTGTGGATTATATTTTAACAGTTATTTTTTTATTGTTCTTCGATGTCAGGTATTTTAAAAGTTTTTATTGCAAATTTATGGCTTTACAAGGTAAAAGAAAAGAAAAAAAATGAACTAAGGCTTTCATACCTGCTAGTACTTCTAGTAATAGACTTGGCCAAGGAGAATATAAACTAATGTACAAATTATAGATTCAGAATAATTGCTGGACTTGAAGCTCTTATTTTTCTCCTTAATTTTAGTGTTCCTTAGAGTTTCTCCCAACAGCCATTCTCTCATCACTCTACACATTGCCTTGGACAATGTCGCCACTCCCGTGGCTTTAGTCACCATGTCACATTAACAGCTCTCCTGCACCTCCATTTCAAAATGTGCATCAGACCTAAACATTAATTGTTTGCCCAACATTTGTACTTGCTTATCCCTTAGTAGAATGGAATGAAACAGGTTCAGCTGCCTGCCACAACAGAAGCCTAACTCGTAAGGCAGGTTAGGCTAGTCCGAAAGGAAAGTTTTATTCAGGTGCTATGCAACCTGGTGGACTCCTGTCTCAAAGACCATCTCCTCTTCCAGCTCCAGCCTCCCATTCTTCCAGAGATAGGGAGGGGAGGGAATTTTTCCTATCCAAATATCTTGCTAGCTTTTGGCCTGCTTGGGGCTCTATCCATGCATCTTTCTAGCTTTTGGCAGGTTCAGTATAAGAATCTTCCCCTACTGTCATCTTGACCAATGAGGGAGACACCCCAGCGCTCAGACTGACTGTTTACAATAACATTAGTCCCTGAAATTCAGTATGTTCAAAAAAGAAACAGTATCCTCCCAAACCCTTCTTTCTCTGTTCCCAATCTCAGCGAATGACACAATCTCCTACTGCGCCCACATCTAACTAAACACCAAGCCCTGCCTATTTCCCAAACACTTTACTTCCTAAAATGGTAATCTTTCCACTTCTTAACATTCCCTGTATTGCTAACTTTATGTCATCATCATCATCTCACCTAGACTGCTGTCTCAGAATTCTAATTGGCCTCTTTGCCTTCAATTTTCCACCTTAGAGTCAGAGTAATCTTTCTAAAACATAACTTTGATCTCTTTGGCCTAAACCTTTTTGATGGATTCCTGTGGCCATATGACAAAGTCCTTACTCCTTAATATGTTTTGCAGGGCTCTTCACGAACTGGGTCTTGCACACTACATCTCCCTGTGCTACCACCCTCCCTTTCCAAGACTCAGCTACACCGAATTATTTCTTCAGTTCCATGAGAGAGAAGTGCTTTCTGACTTTCAGAATTCTGTGCACGTTTTATCTTCTTTAACACCTCCCCACCAACAGCTGCACAACTTTAATGCTTCAATGTAGACATGTCCTCCCAGGAAAATTTCTCCAATGCTTTTAGACCCAGTTTTTGTACTGAGTGTGGTATCAGAGAACCCTGTACTTCTCCCTATCACCATTTGTCACCCTATATTACAATAGCTTTCTGTCAGCTGCTTCTGTTGGACAATAGGCTTCACAAGGGCGGAAGACATGACTATCTCATTCATAATTTCATTGCCTAACACAATGCCTGGCATACGAAGTCTGTCCGGAAAAAGTCCAGCCATTATTAATATAACATTGTTAATATAATGAGAATGGTTTGTGTGATATGGATATAACCTGGCAGCCAAGGAGAGAGGACTGGAATGTGCATGCATGAACAATAATGACTTCACTGTACTAGTCAATGGAAGCAGTAGACACTGTTGAATAAGCATGTGTTCTGTATGGCCGTTGCATTCAAAACGAGTGAGTACAGCAATGAATCTGCGTCAAATTTTGCATTAAGCTTGAACATCCACAGAAACTATACAGATGACTCTGAAGGCCACTGCTAGGGACACCTGGTGATTGGCAGCTTC